AGTCTGGAGTTTAGAGTCTTTTTCCTCTAAAATTGTAGTCCGTTCTAATAAAAAAAAAGAGAACCCACCTGCCGGAACAACCTTGACATGTTGTCAGAGACATTATCTTTAGCTTTAGCATGACTGAAACTTCTACCAAAACTTTATTTTAACAGAACTATTTGATAAAGTACCATAATAAGTGCAACTAATAGTTTGTTTGTCCCACTAACTTCTGTAGAAGTGACGTTGAAAATAATACAAGTTACAAATTCCTAGTTTTAATTTCTAATTTTTTGAAAGTTATAAACAACTTCCAAAAAAAAAAAAAAAAAAAAAAGTATCTTTTTTCTTTAAAAATAAAAAGATGTTTCTTTAAAAAAAAAATACTGCAATATAGTTGTCATTTACAAATCGTATTTTTTTTAACTATTTTTAATTATTGATAAAAGAATAAACCATCAATATTAAAGAGTTTCTCTTTCTTTATCAATAATTAAATAAAATACACTTCACCGTATAGTCAATTGCACTTCACATTCTTATTAAAAAATGAAGTTTAGCTTAATTTTAGCTGTTGCAATGGAAAAAAAAAATCTATTAAAAAATTGAACTAGAACCATAACTCTTCCTCGTGTACATGACAATGGAATGACTACATCTTTTATAGGATCAAAATAATTAATCACAAAAGAACTGCATGATGTCAATTGATAACTTTTATTGATTCCTTTCTATGTTCATGTGTGTGGTGAGGAAAAGTTATAAATAGCACTGTATAGCCCCAAAAAATGAGGACAAAATCAAGAAAACCTATGTGCATTTCAGGATAGAAGCATATATAATACGATCAAGCTCTCAACCATTTCATTCTAAAGGGCTTCCTTTTCTCCTTGACTTCCTTGATCTCCAAATTATAGCAGAAGGATTTGGGCATATTCGGTATGGAATCTTTGGGGGTGGAATATTGGGGACCCTGCAAATCCATTTGTCAAAAAATTAGACTTATTTCACCTTCAAATGCATCAATGTTTCTCTAACTTGCTCTCTATCTCTCTCCAACTTTAATCAATTTAATTGGTCTATGTAACTACCTTATATAATTAATTTAGTATTTTCATACTTAGAAAACTTTAACTTTAAGAAATGAGTGAGAAGACAATAGACCAGAAAACTTGTGCCCTGTTCCATTCCAAAGAAGGGGAGCAGGTAAAAGGGATATTAAGGGTGTATTTGGTGCAGCTTCCCAAGTGTTTCAGTTTTTTGTCATTATTCATGTTTCATAAGTTTAAATTTCATTTTTTTTAACTTTAAAAAGATCCAAAACAGTGAAAGATCAAAAACTTTAAATTCAAGTTTTTCATCAACTTCATTTTTACTTACATTTTCATATTTTTAAAAGGAACTTTTAAATTTTTCATCCACTAAAAATTTAAACTTATCACTCATGAACAATAAAAAAAAACAAAAACTCTAACAAGTTGCATCAAATAGGCCCTAACTTAATGGTTGGCAGGAAAGTGATCTCACTGTAATGCAGCAATCTCGATCTGCGAAAAGTCCATGTTGGTTGAACTGTCTAATGCAGGTAGTGTTGCAGGGGATTTAGTCTTCCTCAGCGGTGATTCTGGTTGTTTGACGGCCAGAACTCTACAATTGAAGTTACTTGCTATGTTGTTGTGGGCAATTGCCAACCTAAAGACAAGAACATAAAAAAAACACTTATTTGGGTCTCCGTTTAGCTTTACAAAGTCACAACAATCAAGGAATTCACTCAGCTCTGAAAAGCATTTTACAATATTTTTCATCCTAAGGGTGTTGAATATATGGTATTGTGCGAATATCATGGTCTCCGAATCATTTTAATTGAGGACCTGAGGCTCCCAGATGTTAACATATCAAGTGGGCTCCAAGCACTATTCGGTTGTTTCAACACTTTGGACATTAGGACACAACCACGTGCTTATACCTGCCACACTGCTCTATACTACATTATACACAATGAAAATGAGATATTTAATTATACACGAAAATGAGATATTTAAACAATTAGACTTATAGGAAATTTTGGGAGAAAAATAGTATTTAAATATTTATAAAATTATCTAAATACACTTAATAAATCTCTTGCATATTGATTCCTACACTTTCTGTCAGTAGACTTAAAAATACGCTTTTTCAAAAAAAAAAAATATTCAAGTATGTCATTAATAAACAATTTATTGTAATTTATAAAACAAGAATTAGTCGGTTGAAGACTACGGAAGATTATATAGAATTAATTTTTTCCTAACCTCTCCCCAAAATTGAACAAGAACAAACACCATCCGTCAGCCAAACCAAACCCCTTATGAAGTGGTTACGCAACACCTCATAATGTATTTGAAAAGTCTACAGTTCAAATTTCCGGTGTTTGAGTGAATAATTTAAAACTTTTGAAATTTGGATCCCTGTTTACTCAAAGATAAGATTTTGTATATATATATATAACAGAACCAGAGTTGAAAAAGGGATTTTGAAGCTTTTCGGTCCATCTTTTGAAAAGATAATCTTTACTGTAAAAATAAACAAAAAAAAAAATTAAACACAGTTTTTTTAAAAACATATTTATTAAAATTTTCAATTTGATAATTTTTATTTTTATTCTAAAAAAATTTGTATGAATTCATAATTCAGTATTTATGTAAAATCTTTGTGTATTATTGGGGTACTACTGTTCATATGGTTTGATCTTATCTTTTTCCAGGTCCGCTCACAAATTCAAACCATCCTTACGAATTAATGAATTATTCAATATTTAATTTTCATCATCACGACTATTGATGCTAATGATTGAATAACAGAAAAAATGAAAAATAATTTTGACTAACAGGAAACACGAAATTAAATTTCCAAGAAAATCAATCAATTAATACTTAGTGTTGATGTTCAATCAATTAATACTTACTTGTAGAGAAAGCTCCGATCATGAAGACCGACGACGACGGCGAATGCACCGATCTCCCGCACCACCGCACCAACCTTCAGCCCGTCCTGATCGCCTTCCGTCACAATAATCTCAATATTTGTCTGTAACACAATTCCGTCTGATTATATCACCATGAACGCGGCGCACAATTAGTTACAGAAAACGTTTCAATTGAAAATGCTCACAAGGTGTTCGATTCTATGCTTGTTTGAAATCTTTTCCGACTTACGTTGAAGAAATTGGTGTTGCAAATTTCCCTGAAGGAGAGAGCGAGCTGGTAGCCTTCCAAGCGAAGGTGTCTCGCTTTCTTCTTGCTTCTGGATCTTGATGCGGCGGGGGAAAAGACGTGGAGGAGAGTGATCAAGTCACCGTAGCGGAGGAGGTTGTGGAGAGCCCAGCGGAGGGCCGTTCTGGCCGCGTCGACGTCTTCCACCACCACCACTATTTTCCTCGCCTCCATCACCCGTGCTGCCCTTCCTCTGACCCCTCTCTCTCTTTCTCACTTTTTGGGACTTTCTAATTCGTTTGGCACTTAGGCTTCCATTTGTCTGGTACTGCAATTAGGATTCGTGGGCTCTGCGCAGCTTCTCGTAATTTTCTTTTTCTGCCGCTTGGGATTTAAAAATGGAAATTTTCGAGTGACAACGGAATTAAAAAGCTTGGCAAATATGTATAGTTTTTCTAGTAATAATAATAATAATATTATTATTTTATTAACATTTCATAATCACGTTGGTTCTTAATTAATCAGAATTGAATTGCATCGAATTTTCACTAAGGGAACTCTTCTAACACTTATTTCATAAAATTTAAATTAAAAATTTTATTTTAAAAAAATTAAATTTTTTTAATCGAATCAACAAATTATTGGTATTCTCCCAATATTACGAGGGTGTTTGAATTAGCAATTCAAATGTAATGGATAATAGTTTGTTAGAGGAGTTGATGTAACTCGACCAATAATTATTGTTCTATTTGTAATTCAAATATTTCTTCTATTTTTAAATCTTTACCAATCTCTTGTGGCCTATTTTATTTAAAATATTAAAAAATTGTTAGTGGGTATCAATTTATATTATTAAAAATAAAATAAAAAATATTTTAAAATTATATTATTTAAATAAAGTATTATAAAAAATAAATTTTAATTTAAAAATTAAAATATATTAATATATTAAAACAACACATTTTAAATTTTTTTTACTTAATTTTTTACAATATAAATCGATATCCATTTTTTCGTTAAAAAATATATACTGCATTAAAATTTTTGAGTCAAAGCTCCGTTTCAGTTTTTATGTTATCAATCAAGTTAAAATTAAAAACAAAAATTCTTCAAATGAATATGTAAAATAAATAGATGCATTAAATAATTTCATAACTTCTCCATCAATGAATACATTCTCAGTTAGGTAATCAAATTAAATTGGAGAAGCTTACTGATTCATATATAGAAAATATAATAAAAATTACAAATGTGATTTAGTTATAATAGTTTTTTCAATTTTTTATTTAATATAACATGATAATAATCATTTGATACTACACCATATATTATACTATACAAAAATGCATTCTAGCTCAATCAACAAATATTTTAATTTATGTTCAAGATTTAAGCTTTGTTTGGTTTTTTGAAAATATCAAATGATGGATTATATAGTAAAGATAATCTTTTTTTTCTCAAATTACTCTAACTCATTTTAAAATTTAAATTTAAAATTTTTAATATAAAAACTTAAATTTTTAATATATATGACACCTCTTTAAAAACTTAATTTATTCAGTTTAAAATAAAAAGAAAGGATAGAGACAAATTTTTTTATTTAAATATTGAATATTAAAAAAGAGGATGAAACCTTTCTCTATTTTCTTTTATAACTTTAGGTGTAAGTAAAGAACAAGAAGAGAGGAGGGAGTTTCTCCCTCCGCTCCATTTCTCCCCACCCCCACCCCCCGCCC